ATACTAAATGTATAATGAAATGCAAGGTAGTGTTTTACTTAGGGTGATAATAGGTGCTCTCTCTGATACCATCCCAGTTGAGCACAGGCCTGAGGGGAAAAAGGAATCACATGAATATCTAGGGGAATTATTCAAGGCAGAGGGAACAGCCCATACAAAGGCCCTAAGTAAGAACTGAGCTTATAGTATTTAATGAGAAGCAAAAATACTGGCAACGAGAATTTTTACAGCTTTTTATGTCTACTTAGTTTATCAGAGTAGCCCAGGTATGTGGGTTTCAATTTCCATCTCTCACTCTCCTACTAAGACTACTTATATCTAGTTATCTCACATAATTTTCCCTAACACTTGAGATAATGCATTTCTATTATATGGAAGATCTGGAATAAATATGAATTGAATGATGAAGTGACTGAATTAAGTGAACCAAGTTCATACTATGTACCCTGGATTAGAAAACAAAAAAGTCCTTAATGGAGAATTTATTAGCAATAAGTTGTATGAAATCATTGATTACAGTTTTCTTGTTTATAAAATAAGGAGGTTGAATTGACTGATTGCTGAAATCTTTATAAAGTTTTGTGATTTCAAATGTATTATTTACTTTCCTTTTGTGAATAGAACTTGGCCATAGTTGTTTCTAGTTGTGAATCAGTTTTAGATAAACGTACACAACTTGGATATGATTCATAGACTCACAAAATAAAGATTTAGTTAATAATATCTTAAGGAGAGGTATAATAAATTGAGATTTCCATGTCTAGTGAAGAGAGTTCTTGGGAATTTTGCATTAATTGCCAAAGCAATACAGGTTTGAATAATGGAGTCTTTGGATTGTCTTCATTTTGGGTTCAGGTTTGGGCCTTATTCCTGTCTGGTTGCAACGTGATTTTGCATTAATTAGTTAAAATATCTCTGGGCTCAACTTTATGTGATATGTGTTTATCGTTACCCATTTCCTAGGGTTATCATAAAGACTTTTTAAATAATGTATATGAATAATTTGGCATAGGGCTTGATGCAAGGTGCTAAATCAAGGTCAGATGCATTTTCTTTCTTTCCTAAGTAGGTTTCCCCTCATTTTGCATATACGAGTAGAAAACCAGCCTTGGGTCTTTATACAGAAGTGTTGTGTTTTGGAAGTTTGTATTTCTGGCAAAAACACAGTGTCTTGGACATATAAGGTCCTCAAAGCTATTGACCATGTTGATGATCATGGCAACAGTACTTCATGCAGGAGCTGCTGGACAGCTGCATTAAATTAAAGGGTCTAATTTATGGCATGAAATTTTTACAGTGCTACAGAAGTGCTACAGTGCTACAGAAGAATTTAAAACTGAATCATGATTGATGGCAGAATATATTTACGCAGTAAATCTTTAGACAAGGGTAGATGTCAGCTAATAATGGAATGATGGTCATACTTTGAGTGTATAACTTGATGGCGTGAGGGAAACCCTCTTTAGGTATTTTGCAGCTGTTAGGCACACAATTGACAAAAAATATTTGTACTTTGGAACAATATAACATCAAGCCCCTCTTAATCCACTACACATTCTAGCAGTAACTAATTGACTAGGGCTTCTCAGTTAAGAAAGCCTAATGAATTTGATTGCCCCACCACTCTGCCAAATAGAAGTATCAGTTTCACATATGTCGATGTGTGGATCTCAGTGCTCAAGTACTATTACAGAAAGCGTGTGTGTGTGTGTGTGTGTGTGTGTGTGTGTGTGTGTGTGTGTAGGAAAGGGAAGTAGTTGAGTCATAGCAAAATATATCGCTGACTTNTTTTTTTTTTTCAGAGCTGTGAAGTGTATTCCCGGCTAGTGGTCCTTACTTATAGGCTCTAAGCATGTTCTGAACATTAAAAAAAAAGAAAAAAGAAAAAGAAAAAGGCAAAAAGCTGTTTCCAAACATCCAATGATTCATTAAAATACTTGTGTTTCCTTAGGAAAAAAAGTTTCCACATACGCACAGTAATCATTTGGCATTTGGTAGGCTTAAGCCTTGGGGAGTTAGTGGTATTTGGCTCCTGACATGGAAGTCTTTCTCTTGTCAGACGGGCCCTTTCCCCTGCACATTCCTGTGTGAGTTTGTTTCTGTTGCGCCTGATGGCAGGCTGCGAGGTGGCTGTGTATGGTTTGCGCTGTCTAGGCCTCCCCTTCTCTGCTCCTTTGACCTCTTCCTGAGTTAGTTTTAACTTTGTGGATATCAACTCCCTCATTGTTTCATTTAACTTGGGTGTCATTTTGCCTGGGTAGCAATTGTCATTACTCGGAGATGAGGATGTGTTAAGATGCATTACATAAACCAACTTGTAGTTTTTCGAGTCCCTTTTGATGGTTTTTTTATGTTTGTTAACAGTTCTTCAGGATCTCCTAAGAAAAGCATGAACATTTTCTGAGGATTTGGCTCTTTTTAGAAAGTGATTGTGCGTTTTGAGAAAAATCTGAACGAGATTGCTTTTCGAACTTGAGTCAGGAAAGTTAGGTTTTGGTGATTTGAGATTTATTCTCAATGTTTTGAATTTTCTATATTACTCTCAACAAAGAAGATGACACTAGGGAAGTTTCTTTCCAAGGAACAAACACCAAGGCAATACAGAAAAGCACACATGAGTAACATACTTAGCTTTTTTCAAAAAGGCAAATAATTGATTTATTGTCGTGGAGCACAGATAACAGAAAGTAGCTAAGGCTTAAGAGTCTATGGAGATGAGTATCAGGATGTTGTGAATGTCAGCATATGAATCAACTGCTGTTTAAATTCCATGTTCTGTTTTCTTCATACTCACACTTAGTGTTAGAAAAATGTGTGCAAACTAAGTGTTAGCCTTTTAGGTAACTGTCATGCCATTTGGATACTTGAGAATTCTCCCTTTAAAGTTGATGTTGATGGTGAGGCTATAAAGCGTGTGTGTGTGTGTGTGTGTGTGTGTGTGTGTGTGTGTGTGTGTGTGTTTGTTAAATGTAAATATTTAAATTGGTTCACTATAATTTGTGAAAACTGACCCAACTTGATCTGAAAAAGTACAGGAGGGAATGAATAATAGGTGTCTTTTGTCCTGCCTATTGGTAGGTATGTCATAGGTTCCTTTTCATTTTATTTGTTTGATAGTCTCCAAGCAAATTTATTTAATTAATAAAAGACCTGCCTTGAAGAGTTGGGAGAGAGAAAATAAAAAGTATATTTAATCATTTCAAAAATTTTTACTTAAATAGAGGAGTCAATATAGATATTTTATAGAACCACAGGTGTTTGTATGTCAAAATAAATATGTCAGTATATTTTTATATAAATGCATATGTGTATATACAGGCATATTATATGTATATGAAATATAAAAAATATAGAGAATCAGTGCATCCACTGACAAAAGAATGACTTTTAGAAAATAGATTAATTTAAGGTATTTTGATACAATAGCAGATTTTGCTCATTTCCCCCATTTCACATGGAAAAAGAACATAATTTTTAGATTAATTCATTTGTATCCAGCCATTTAACAATGGTTGAAAAAGAATAACATTAAATTATTTTTCATTTAGAAAATTGTGTAATCTTAAATAGACTGAAAATCTATAGATTAAATTCAACTTTTATTAAGTAAAAAAGTTAAGATATTTTATTATTTTTACTGGTCATAACATTTATATCAGAATTTGCAGTTTACATATTTTTACATATATGAAACTTTCATTTTATTTCATCTNGGGGTCTTTATTTTTAACATACTTTTTTATTTGCCTGAAACACTCTTTCCTACTTCTTAACAAGGCTCACCCTACTTACTCTTTCAATGTAGCTATCACTTTCTTAGGCTGCTTCTGCGCCCTTTTGGGTGCTTTCCCTTATGAGAGCACTTACCATGTCACATTGCACGCGTCTATTTGCTTATCTGTGCCTCATTGGATTGTGATTAAAAGTGATGTATGTTTGGTCATCCCTGACCTCTGTCTGTTTGGTACATAGTAGGTCACCTATAAATATTTTATGGAGGATTGAGTGGTGGAGAAATTGAAGCAGAGCTGGGATGGAATCTTTCTCTTTTATCTCTAAGTGTTCTTTGATATTATCCCCCCTTCCCAAACAACTTTTCAAACACATTACCCTTCCTTGAATCTCTTCCACTCACGATTTCCAGACTCTTCACCAAATTCTAATGTTAAGGTTACAGTTACAATTATGCTCTCTTGTGGCACAGTTCTAAAGAATGCTGGCCATCGAGGCAGGCTGCCTGTCTTCAAAGCTCAGTTTCCTACTTGCCTGCGGTGAAGCCTTGGGCTTCTCCCTGCCTTGATTTCCACGTCAATGAGATGCAGATAATAACAATAACTACGTCATAGAGGTGGAGTGAGGATCCATTGAGATTACCCATGAAATGCCCCTGGCATAGTGTCCCGCGTTTGGTCACTGTCATTAAATATCAGCTATTATTAGTCTCAGTCTAGAGACTGCAGAACTCTACAGAAAAAAACAAAACAAAACTTGGAATATGCTCTTCTTGATGGAAAATGAGTGTTGAGCATAATTAAGCACAGTTTTCCATTTGTTACTTTCAGCATTAAAATGTTTAGTTTGAATGCAAATTGTATTTGAGTTTGAAAGAAGGTAGTAAACATCATTATTTCCAACCCACCTGAACCACATCTATGGCATAAGCCTTCTTTACCAGCCACATAGGGACCTATGACCTCTGCTCAGGCATGATGGCAGCAAGACACCCAGGAGGACATGAAGCTTTTCAATCCAGACTTGGAAACCTCAGCATAGACTGTGACTGCATAAGCTAAACAAGCAAGGGTGGGAGGGGACTCATTCAGCACCTCGAACCCTGTGCATTGTCTTGGCACAGAGGCTTGCTTAGTCTCATTTCACCTCTGTGTGGGGAGAAAAAAAAGTGCATACTAGTTAGCCTACTTGTAAAAGTTGGACAAGTAGAGGCAAGTCCATCCTAGAACTGAATCTTACGTAAATAATTTATTTTTCTGTCTTCTCAGACAGCTCAGCTCTCTCCAGTCAGAGGAGTAGTTTTCCGACTTCTTTTTGGACCAGCTCTTACCAGCCTCCACCTGCACCCTGTTTGGGGGGAGTTCATCCTGACTTCCAGGTCACTGCACCCCCTGGCACCTTTACCGCAGCCGACCCCAGCCCCTGGCCAGGACACGGCCTGCACCAGACTGGCCCAGCCCCTCCCCCTCCTGTGTCTGAGTCCTGGCACTATCCTTTGGCATCTCAGGTGAGCCCATCCTACAGCCACATGCATGATGTGTACATGCGCCACCACCACCCCCACGCCCACATGCACCACCGGCACCACCACCACCACCACCACCACCCTTCTGCTGGCTCTGCCCTGGATCAGCCCTACGGGCCCCTGCTGATGCCATCAGTGCGTGCAGCCAGGATTCCTGCTCCCCCGTGTGACATCACAAAGACAGATCCAACGACAGTCACCACTGCTACCTCAGCGTGGGCCGGAGCCTTTCACGGAACTGTGGACATAGTGCCAAGTGTGGGGTTTGATACAGGTGAGTTGGGGGATTTCTTCCTTTCCATAAAAAGAAGAAAACGTTAAGAAATGAATATTTTTTAAATGGGGAATGTTCTAAATACCTTGAGATATTTTTTTTTCTCTTCTATGTTACGTAAAGTTAAGCTTTGCCAATATGTTTATATTTTGCAATAATTCTGCATTCCTGGAGAAACTGGTATGATTAGCTCATAGAGTATAGCCTGAGAAGGTCTTGGAACTTTTCTCCCGTTTCTTAAGCTAGTCTGTTCCTTGGGACTGAAATCTCTGGTACCTTATGTTTATATAGAGTTGAGCATATTCTTTAAATTTCCTCTGTCTCTGTGCTTTATATTATGTGTAAAGCCTAATAGAAGTCATAAATAGTATGTTTCAGTTAATTTTTATTTTTCTCCTTTTGTTAGTCTTATGACTTATAAAACACACTGCTTTCTGGAGTGTGGTTCATGATCTACACTTTGAAAAGAATTAGGGAATGTATTTAAAAAAAAAACACTGGGTTTCCCTTTTCTTCTCTTTCCCTCCTTTGCCTTCTCTTTATTTTCCCTCCCTTCCTCCTCCTCCCCCTCTTTCTTCTCTCTTTCTCTTTCTCTCTGTTTTAAATAACACCAAACTTAAACGAAAATACTATAAAGTTTATGTTCAACAGATTTATTTTAAAAAAATGAAAAATGGTAAAGGATGTATTTATTCACAGAGCATTCAGCTCTTCTCTGGAATTCACTCGTTCTGAAGGTCATGGTATTAAATGTTTGAGCTTGATTTTGGGACCAAACCAGTCATATTCATAGTGTTAATAGTTCTGAGTTCATGAAATCACAGGCATCAGAAGCTAAAAAGACAAATCAAGTCAGTGGTTACAGCCCCTGAGTCTATGTTCCAAAGTCACCCACCTTCACCTCCAATCCCAGGTTCTTCTTCCATGAACACTTTGTGACATTAGAATTTCCTTTCCAGTAGTTTAAAGAAACCATCTTTCCTTAGTTTTTCTATAGTGTACAGGATCTTTAACCTGAATGCTGGTTCACAGGAGAGCGCTCCCTTGAGTAGTAAATGCTCATCATGAAATGGCATTCATATGAGTGGAACATTCTTATCTTGGTTACTGGTTCTGAGCTTTCCAATGTTGGTCGTTCATTGCCTAGCCTCACTTATTTCAGATTCCTATTGAGTCTCTGGGTTTAAACTGCTTTTGTAGGCAAATTATTGGGGGACTTGTTTCTCCCTCTCTAGAAGAAGAGAATGTGATGAGGCTAACCACTGCAGGCTCTCTTCTTCCTTTGCCGCATCCTAGCAGAATGAAGACAACGCTTGAGTTGTTTGATTCCTCGGGCCAGATCTGAGTGCCAATTTGGTAATTGCCATCGTGGGCAGCCAGTTTCTGAAGACTCTGCCCTATCTCTCCCCTTCCTCCACCCCGCTCCCTACCATGGTACCTGTGTGGCCAGGGTTAATAGTGCCCTTAGCAGGCAAAGGAATGTTCTCTCCTTTCTTAGTCATTTTGGGCTACTATAGCAGAATACCATCCACTTGGTGGCTTGAACAACAAACATTTGGTTCTCACAGTCCTGGAGGCTGGGAAGTCCAAGGTCAAGGTGCTGGCACTGGCAGTGTGTGGTGAGGGCCCACTTCCTTGTTCACAGACACTGTCTTCTCAGTGCTTCTCCAAATGGCATAGGGCACAAGGGAGCTCTCTGGGATCTCTTTGATAAGGGCACTGATTCCATTCATGAGGATTCTGCCTTCATGACCTAATCACCTGCTAAAGGCCTCACCTCCTAATACTATCACACTGGGCATATAGGATTTAACATCTGAATTTTAGAGGACAAAACCATTCAGTTCAAAGCATCCCCTCTGTATATTCTATAACATAAAGGCAGGACATGAATGTGATTCTTTGTTATTCTCTGTGTCTAATTCTCTGCCACCTGTTACCTACATTTGTACTTGTCAACTTTGGTGTGGGCCTGATACACCAACTTGTTGTTCAGAATTTCAGCTTTAAATAGTCTCTTTGGGGTGAAAATCATCCTTCTACTTTTTGGAAGTAGAAGAGAGAGGACTTTTGTTCTCACTGAAAAATCTAGAGAGGACCAATTTGGGTGTATTATATAATAGTTCTTGCTACTTACTGAGCTATGAATTAACATTTATTGAGAACCCACTATGTAAGGTATTGCCAGAGATGATATATATTGGGTTGTTGGGAAAGTCATGACGTATTTTTCTATGTTTTTCAATGCAAAAATGCGTCATGACTTTCCGATGACCCCATATATATATGTTAGTGTTTTAAATTCTTAACTAAATCTGAAATGGGTCTTCTTAGATTCATTTACAAATAAAGAAACAGGCTCAGTTTCCCTATTTGAAAACTGATTGCCTGAATCACAAGTTCTCAAGCTGGATTTGAACTAAGACCTGCCCCTCTCTAAGGCGTTTTGCTGGGGTAGCATCTCCCTGTATATAAATGTAAATTAGACTTAGTTTGGGCTATTAAATTAGACTATGAATAGGTAATGATGTGGAGTGAAAATATATTTATCTGTGGGACATATGTAATACTACTCCTTGTCACTGTGGGTTTAAGATGATGATCATGATTCATCTATGCCCCATAGTTTTGACCCAACTGAGAAAACAAAGACAATGGAATAAGCAAACAGGAATCAACTTATTAATAATTTGCTCAGGCCAAATTTGAGATCCTAGATTAGGCTTATTGCCACAACTAGACTTCCTGGTATCTTGGGCTAAATTTAGATTTTGGAAGACCCAACTCTAGGGAAAATCCAGAGTTCAGAGAAGACTCCCATAGATATTTGTCAGATAGTTTAGAGCCCCATCACTGTGAAAAGAGATTGAGGTTTGTTGCTCAGACTTGTCTCTGAGAAACATTATCTGAAGCATGACCCTGGTGGGCTTACCCTACAAAAGGCAGCAGCAGGTGGCGTGTGGCCCTCTCTGCATGGGAGCTGGCCCAGAAGCAGAGAGGAAGGGGCTGAGCCATATGTGCTCATTTTCCTGTCTCAAACTCAGGCATCATGTTAAATATCACATCTCTCTTCCTTTGGGAAGAGTTAGAGAGGAGTGTTTTAGGTCAGTTTCCGGAAGATACAGACTCTAAGACCAAGATTTGATTGTAGACAGTTTATTGGGTAGTGCTCTCAGGGCAACAACTTTGTGGGATGAGAGAAGAATTGGGCAGAAATCTCAGTATGATTTAGTTTAACAGAGACTTAGTGGATTCTACAGGGAGCTCTGGAGCTCAGATGGCCCTTTATAGTTGTCTCGCCTTAAGTTGAAGTGGACAGGCTTTTATATTCCTGCCCTGACCAGTTATTGGATATATTTGCCAGTGGTAAGGGTACATGACATTAGGCAAGGGACTGTTCAGCTGAAGGCAATTTCCAATGAGAGAAATAACCGAAAGTCATGAGCTGCCAACAGCAGGGGAATGAATGTCTAAACACGGAAGGGGGAGGGATCAGTGACACATCATAATATCCACTACATGGGGACAACAAAAGAGTAGCTTCTTTTCCACTTTTCTAACTACTTATAAAAGAACAGAAGTTTCTGCATAATAGGCTAAAGCAAGGAAGATAGACTAGTTGAGAAGAATGAGAGATGCGTTCCTCTGTACAGTCTACCTGACATTGACCTGACTATGCAGCCCAAAATGGTGGCTCAGCTCAGGACTCAGCATCAACCTTGGGTGGCTACTGGGCAGGTGCAGGAAGAGCCTGCACATTTAGGTGAGACAGGCATGTAACTTCTCAAAGTCTGGGTGCTAGACCACCAAAATGCAGGTCATTTTCACATTCCATTACAAAATAGATACTTAATGCAAGCATTTTGAGATCAACTTGGTAAAGGATGTGGCAATTTCAGTTGGGGAAAGGCTTAATAATTTTAGGTACATTTTTATTTTGCAGCTATCTGTAGGAAATCTGGAAGGTTGAACATGATATAAAGTTTAGTAACCAAAGAAAGTTTTAGAGTATCATGTATGGTATAATCCAGGGCTAAGCAAAATTTTCCTGTGAAGGGGCTGATACAAATATTTGATGTTTTGCGGGTTCATGCCGTGTCCATCACGACTACTCAATTCTGCTTTTGTAATGTAGAAGCAGCCACAGAGGAAAAAAAAGAAAAAAAATAACTTAGATAAATGAGGATATCTGTGTCCCAATAAAATTTTATTGATAGACACTGAAATTTGAATTTTATATACTTTTCATGTGTCATGAACTGCTATTCTTTTTTATTTCCTTCTTTCTCACTCATTTAAAAATATAAACCCATTTTTCCATTCTTAACTCATGGGCTATATACAAACAGACCATGGGCCTGATTTGGCCTATGGACTATAGTTTTCTGACCCCTAATATAGTCCATGTGTATATTTTTTATTTATTTCCACATGCATACACACACACACACACACACACACACACACACACACGTGTGTGTGTACCTGTATTTCCTCAGTGAAAATCATTGGGAAATGTACCCCCAACTTTTAATGATTATTACTCCTGATAATTAATGGGCATCCTGAGCTTTGAAGACACACTGATTTTATAAGCCCACTTCTGTCACTCACTAGCAGCAAGACTTTGGGCAAATTATTTAACCCCCTGGATACCTCAACTTACCTTTAAAAGATGTCTCGGCCTTTTGAGCTTCCTTTGCTTGGCCTGCTCCAAACTCATTGGAGTGTACTTTCTTTTCTAATAATGCCCCTTGAGCCATTGCTACTGCTCAGGCCTGCTTCTGCTTCTTTGAAATGTATTTTTACTTCTAATAAACTCCTTTTCTGCAACTTAAAAAAAAAGATATCTCTGGGTTGTTTTGAGAATGAAATGAGTTAATGAGAAAAACATTTACAAATGTGCCTTGCATATAAGAGGTATTCTATAAATTTTAGCTATCAAAGGGAAGGCGGACAGACCCTCACTCTTTTTAGCTTTTAAATTACTATTATTGAGC